AACAAAGGAGCATCATTGGGGATGGCATGGCTCTTTATCTAGTTGTGTGTCTGGTGATGCCCTTGTTTGAGATGCTAGCCCTGAAGTGGGTGCCTCTGCAATCACAGCGTAAGGCGGGCACTCACATCACAAAAAGAAAAGCAAGTTATTGGGGTGCACACTACAGTTACTTGTTTGTGGTGATGCTGGTGTAAACAAAGCTGCTGCTCCCCTAGTCCTGTAAGGCACAGCAAACAACTACAGTTGTAGGCCGTACCATCTAGGCTTGTGTAAGTCATTCTGATGGCTACACAGCAATGAAGTCGCCTCCTGGCACACTTCTCAGAATGCATCCCTGTCAAAGTGGTGCGTGACCGTATAGTTCTGAGTTATGAGAAACTCACAGGCATGTCATCACCTGCTCCATCAACTCCAGCCTCCGAGGATGGCCTGTTCCAGGTTATGTCAGTAGAACTGTGTGTGCGCGGCTTTTTGAATTGGCTTCTTCTTTTAGCATAATGCCTTTTACATTGTTCTCGGAGGTAGATGTAACAGTTCTTTGTACTGCTTTATTGCCAAGTGATGCCTCATCGAATGGCAGTATTGCAGTTTGTCCATTCACCACTTTGGATTATCTCCGCTTTAGATAAAGTCACCATAAACATTTATGTAGAGATCTTTGTATGAACATAAATTTTCATTTCCCTTACATAAATATTTAGGAGTGCAATTGCTGGGTCATATGCCAGGTGTGTGTTGAACAGTTTTCACAGTGGCTGTCTCATTTTGCATTCCTGACAGAAATGACAGCATCATTTTAGTACTGGGTACTGTTAAGTTTAGGGTGGTTTGTGTTCTAGTCACTCAAATAGGTGTACAGTGTTTGTTCTCTTTATATTAATTTACATTTCCCAGTGACCAGTGATGTTGAGCATCTTTTCCTTTGTCATATGCATGATTCGCAGATCTCTTCTTCTAGTCTCTGTCATATTCTTACAGTCTCTGTATAGAATTTTTCAAAGAATAGAAGTTTTTAATGTCCATTTTATGGATTTTGCTTTTGGAGTTGTAGCTAAGAACTCTTTGCCTAAACTAAGGTTACAAAAATTTCTTTCCAGTTTTTCTTCCAGAAGTTTAATAGTTTGAGATTTTACATTTAGGTCTATGATCCATTTTCAGTTAATGCTTGTTTATGGTATAAGATATGCATCAAGAATTATTTTATTTTGTTTTGCAAATGGATATATAGCTGTTCCTGCACCATTGATTAAAAAGACTATTCTTGTTCATTAAAATCCCTCTGTGTTTTTTCAAAAATCAATTGACCTTGTATGTGTGGGTCTGTTTCTTAGACTCTCCATGGTTTTCTGATATGTCTACCCATTCATAAGTACCACACTGTCTTTATTATTGTAGCTTTTTAGTCATTACTAGAATCAGGTAATGTGAGTCCTCTGATTTTGTTTTTCTTTTTCAAAATCATATTGCTCATCCCCTTTTCTTGTCATCTAAATTTTAAAATCAACTTACTGATTTCTTTTTCAAAATCTTGCTCAGATTTTTTGGTTTTTTTAATTAAATGTGCAGAAAAGTACAAACGGTGCATCCTTCACTCAACTTCTCCTAATGCTAACATCTTATGTAATCATAGTGCAGTTATCAAAACCAGGAACTTAACATTGGCACAGCACTGCCAACTAAAAACTTACACAAATTTCATCAGTTTTTCTTTTTCTATTCTTTTTCTGTTGTATGATCTTATTTCACATTGCATCAGTTTTTCTTTTTCTATTCATCAGTTTTTCTTTTTCTATTCTTTTTCTGTTGTACGATCTTATTTCACATTGCATATTCGTCCTTAGACTGAAATTTTTTTTGCAATTGCATTGGAAATTTTTTTTGCAATTGCATTGGATATTAATTTGGGAGAATTAATATCTTAACAATATTGAATCTTCTGATCTATGAACATAGTATTTTCTCTCCATTTTTTAAAGTCTTCTTTGATTACTTTCAGCAAAGTGTTAATAGTTTTCAGCTTTTAGAATTTTCATCTCATTAGATTTATACCTCAGTATTTCTTTGTGTGTGTGCATGTTATTATAAATGATACTTTTTTAAGAATTAGAATTCCAACATTAATTGCTAGGATAGAGAAGTACACTTACTTAATTGATTGTAATATATAGACCTTGATTCCTGCGACTTTGTCTGTGAATAACAACAGATTTTTCTTTCTTTCTAATGTGTATGCCTTTTATTTCTTTTTCTTGCCTCGTTGCACCGGCTAGAACTTGCGGTATAATGTTGAATAGCTGTCATGAGAGATGACAGTCTTGCCTTGTTCTAGATTTTGGGGGGCAGCATTCAGTCATTCACTATAAAATATGGTAGCTCTAAGTCTTTTATAGATGCTCTTTATCAAGGTGAGGAAGTTCTCTTCTATTCACCTAGTTTACTGAGATTTTTAATCATAATGGATATTGAATTTTGTCTATTTTATGCACCTATTGAAATGACCATAGGGTTTTTTTTCTTTAGTAAGTTGATAATATCAGTTACAGCAATTTGATTTGCGAATGTTGAACTAGAATTGCATTGCCAAGATAAAAACCACTTGGTCATGATGTATTATCCTTTTTCATATATTGGCTGGATTCAGTTTGCCAATACTCAGAGGTGATTATATATCTATGTCCGTGAGGGATGTTGTCTGCAGTTTTCTTTTCTTGTCATGTCTTTGTGTGGTGTTGGTATCAATGTCGTGCTAGACTCATAAAATGAGGTAGAGAATGTTCTCTCTTCTGTAAGCTGGAAAGTTTGTGCAAATAGATACCATTTCTTTAATGGTTGGTAGAAAATTCTACCTTTCTACCACTGAAACCATCTGGGCTTGGACTTCTCTTTGTGGGAAGGGTTTTTAAATTTTTTTTTTTCAATTACAGTTGACATGAAATATTATATTAGTTTGAGGTGTACAACAGGGTGATGAGACATTAATATAGCTTACACAGTGATCACCCTGGAAAGTCTAGTACCCACCTGACACCATAGATAGTTATTTCAGTTTTGTTGACTGTATTCCCTACACTGTACTTCATATCCGTATGACTTTTTATATCTGGCAGTATGTTTTGTGGGATAGTTTTTTAACTATAAATTAAATTTCTTAAATGGATGAGGACTGGTATGGTTACCTATTTCATGTTGAGTGAGTTTGGCAGATTGTTTTTTAGAGAATGTGTCCGTTTCTTCTAGTTATTAAATTTATGGGCATAGAATTATTTGTAACATTCCTTTGTCATCCTTTTTATGTGTTAAGGGAATATGATGATGTCCACATTTCAGCTTCTTATATTTTTGCCGCCTTCCTTTTTATTTTTGGTCATTCTATCTAGGGTGTTATCAGTTTTATGGACCTTTTTGAAGCATTAGCTTTTGATTCTATAGATTTTTTTCTGTTTTTTCTGTTTTCTATTTCATTTCTGCCCTTTGCTGTTATTTTCTTCCTTTTGTATATTTAGGGTTTAATTTGCTCTTATTGTAGTTTTTATAAGATGGAAGCATAGATTGTTGATTTGAGACCCTTTTTTTTTTTTTTCAAAATAAGCATTCAGTACTGTAAATTTCCCTCCAAGTGTTGCTTTAGTTGTAGCCAACAAATTTTGATATGTTGTGTTTTTGTTTCCAATTGATTCAAAACATTTTACCATTTCCCTTGTGACTACTACTTTGACTAATGGGTTCTTTAGAAGGTAGTGTTTCATTTCAAACTATTAAAGGATTTACCAGATATCTTTCTATTACTGATTGATTATTGGCTCAGATGCGACCTCCATCTAGTGTTAGCTTCCAAGGTTTCTATACTCTCATTTTAACCCATACTTGGCCTTAGCTGTGTGTAAAAGTTTTAGCTGAATTTATTTTGCACTCTCATCTGGAATTCTCACCATCTCGTTCTCTGTTGTCGGGGAGCCAGTGCTCACATCGCCCCTTGGAAATACTTGCCTTACCTTAGATTCTGGGCTAGTTGTGCACAGACTTAGTGGACGATTCAAGAAAAGTTATTTTTTATTGTTGATAATTGCAGGAGAAAAGTTCTTTCCAACTTTCTACATCCTAGGATGAAGCTGGAAGTCTCAATGCCTTGTATTTTTTTGTTTTTGTGTTTTGGTTGAGTTTTTGTTAAATTAATTGGGGTGACACTGGTTAATAAAATTATGTAGGTTTCATGGTAATGGAAAGAGATTTGACTTTGGATAATGCCATGAATTTTAAGCTGTAATTTGGGAAGTATGTTAGAGTTCTAGCCATAAAGGCAGAATGAGAGTGGTTGGTGACTTCACATATTAAAATGCATTTTAAGGCTTCATTGAAGATAGAACTGCAGTTGCAATCTCTGACTTCTCGAGCAGCTGTGTTGTTTTGTTGTAATAAAATTTCATTTTGCTAACTGCAGCGACATTCTCAGTCTGCACAAGATAACAGGAGTGAGTTCTTGTACATCCTGTCACCCCTGCCATCTTTCCTAATGTAAGTTGCTGGCACATTTTGTGCCTTGTGTGAATAGGTAACAGAGGTCAAGGGCTTGCAGTCTGGGCTCATTTCTTCTTTGGAATAATTCAAGTCACTGCTTAGTCATATGGTGCACGTATACAAAAAGTTCAGCTTCACCTCAGTCCTACTTGACTGTATGCTGATGGAACACCCTATAATTAGGATCTTCGTTTCAGCCCAGCGATTCCTGAATGAACAATCCAAGGAAACCACCTGTTGTGTCGGGTTTTAGGTTGGTAATTGACAAAGATCCATGACTGTAGACATCCAGTCTGAAGACATCTTTTTCATTATTTTCCATTGCAAAATAGTTTGGCTAATTTAAAGCTTAATCCTTTAAGGGGAAAAAGCTAGTTTATGGAAATGATTCTAAGTTCTAAGAGAAATTCAACTGTATAATTGTCAGCATGATCTGATTTTTTTTGGTCACTAATTTAACTTAATTTATTGCTATTCTTTTTCAGAAAATTCTTCCAGGAGGAAATACATCATTTGATGTAGTTTTTCTTGCAAGAGTAGTAGGAAATGTAGAAAATACATTATTTATTAACACATCTAATCATGGGGTATTTACCTACCAGGTAAGAACCAGAATTAAAACCTTTGTTTATTTTGTAAAATACAGTCATCATCTCCAACCTGTCATATGACTACCTTTTAAGAACTCTCTTCAGAAACTGAGGGAAAATAGAAAATATAAGAGTTTAGACATAGAGCATTTTTATACTTTACTATTGTGTCTGTGAATATCCCTATTCAAATTGGACCGAATAAATAATCCTAAAGCTACAACTAAAGTGTTAATGTAAGAATGGTTGGCAAAAGAATAGTAAAAAACATTTTCACACTGACTGAATTTTTTCAATTTTTTACTTTTTGCATATTGTGAAACATAATCATAGTTTTAAGATTAAAACATACAT